CAGTCAACACGAACTGCCAGAAACAATTGTCAGACAAAGGAGTGCAGTTCACATCTTGTCAGTTTGTCGAATTCTGTACGCATAACGGAATTGAACACATGAGGATTGCACCGTATCACTCACAATCCAACGGGCAAGCGGAAAGCTTTGTAGACACTGTGAGACGAGCGTTGCTGAAATCGAGGGGGAAGGTACACTGAGCGAAAGGCTAGAAGGATTTTTATTGTATTATTAGATTACCTCGAACTTCAACGCACCAGATGGTAGGTCACCAGCTGACATACTGGTAGGTCGGAGGCTGGGGACCACTCTGGATTTGTTAGCACCTAAACACCCACCGATGCGCCGCACTAACTCGGTAATGGAAAACCAGTAAAACAGATGACACTACCCAGAAATTTCGAAGTTGGATCCTCGGTGTTTGTTACTTCTCCGCAAGGGTACAGGATCAAGTGGATATCTATAATTGTCGTGCGGCGTCGTGGTCAGGTGATGCTCGAGGTCGGCGTTGGTGAGCAGGTATAGATCCCCCATGGCAATCAAATGAAGCCGCGCTACGGGGAGGAAACTGTGACACGTGAGACTAAGGTACTAGCTATTACAGAATTGTTGGATAATAGTGAGGCGAGCACTTTGGTTAAGCGACAAATGTAGCCTTTAGAACGCCCAGAAAATGGAACACAGGGGGGCAGACAAAGAGAAGGCCATTTGTGCAGCCATTCTAAGTGGACTCCCAACAAAAAGCTACACTCCCCCCAGGTAAACTTATTTCTTTATGAAGAGGGAGGTGTTAGGGAGACGTACTGTACATACATATTTTGGAAAACATTCTTAATTTCCGATCGGCATCGTTCACCTATCGAGGTTAGTGACATTTGTTTAAACACAACATTCCGCTAATGTTATTGGCTGCTTGTGATCAATGTGTTTGCTCTCGGATCACAATGCCACTTGGCTGCTAGCACTGTATCTTTTCGTTCGTGCGTGTCTCCTATTGGTTTCTTTGTTGAATACGCTGCATTGGCTTCATTTTGCTTGCATGCTTTTAGAAATATGGTTGCTTGAAATGTCTTTTAGTAGCTTCCTTTCAGACCAATCCTAAAACTATGTAAACAGGCATGATTCAATGCACACGATCCTTTCCCGGCACTTCCTTGGAGTTCTTGCGGTCGTTGGGTGGAGTCAGGTATGACAACAGGCTGTATATGCGCTCATAACGTCGTCGCCAACACCAACAGAAACTTACCCGGATATCGACACACTCTAAATGATAGTAGCCTAAATCAATCCGCAGTTTCGGACGCAGCATCTCTACCGGTAATTGATCGCGATGTGGTCGATTTGCGTCTATGCGTGATGCGCCACGTCACCCTCCGGCGGGCGCCGTGTCGGGAGTTAGTGCTTGTGAGAGATAGATGTAATAACAACACATGGTAATCACGATGGGATCCTACACCGTGTTGGCCGCCCGAATGAAGCTTATTATTGGACCAATTCTAAGTTTGGCGTACAGTATCCGGGCTTTTTCAGTGACGAAGATCGTTCTGTTGATGATAGAAGCTATCCTTTACGCAATCAGCGCTATATTTTGCGGGGGAGTAGTCAGCGATGGGAAACAGGCACCCGTTGACCTAGCGCGGCTTCGAACGATCCAGCTAGTAGGATGGCGAACATGCAGCTAATGACTGTGATCCAGTCTACAAGAGAAGCTTCAACCCGGAGGCTCAGAGAACTGCCCACACCAGCTTGACCGCCATTTGAAGCTGCATCATATCTGGATAGAAGCAATGAGAAATCAATGCTAGTGTCAATTGAAGTTGATCGCAGAGCTTAAGTCTTGCGGGTGGGGTGCGATAAGAGGGCAGCTATCGATCGACAGCGTATCTAGTGTGCGAGTAAATGGTACCTGCTAACCGATTCTTAACAATGTGCGCACACTGAGGTATGCCAGCCTTAATGTGGATCGAGGGCTGCAAACAGAAGTGGATGAGCCGAAGCTGTCCCTGTGTCTACACATGGATTTGTCGACATAGTAGAAGTGACGTACCGCGATTGTTTGCGAATTGAAACTAGGAGACAAACGACTATCAAAACAAAGTGTTGGAGGACCCGGAATTAGGTTGTTGAAAACGGGGGTAAAAGTTAGGTTGGAAGGAGACGATGGTAATGAATGACCGTAAGTGGAGTAAGAAGACAGGAAGGTATGAACCGTAGCATCATCACTCCTATCCGCCCTGCTCAATGTAGCGAATAGGGTGCCGTTAATTGTCTACCGCGACAGCCAATCCATCAAGAGGTTGAGTGAAGAGATTTGTCTCGGGCAGATCGCACGCCAGATTATTTCCCTTGTGCTGGCATCAAGGCTTGCTCTACATATTTTTACTTTTATATCATTACATTGGTAAGTTCCGTGCTGGTTATAAAAATCATGTTGTGGGATACGCCAAAATGTTTTCATTTGAGTCTGGTGAGTCAGGAGGCATGGTTCAAATAAAGAAGTTTAGGAGGAGCGCAGGGAAATATGGAGTCATCCGCATCATTATACACGTTAGGCAGAGGTGGAAAACACCTCAGCTACTGTGCCGAAAATAAATACAACAGCTGCATATCAGCTGAGCTACCAGCAACGGAGAGGCATTGTTCCGGTAAGCTACCAGCCGGCTACTAGGCAACAAGAAAAATTGTTCTGTAAAATTATATTACGCTACGAAATGCGATCGTTGTTGGAGGGGGAGATTAAAAGGGATGGAGAAGGACAAAGAAACTCACAGCATGAACGCCACTGAGATCGGCTCCTTGCCATGTCAGCAAGTGTATCTAGCCAAACCTGTGCATCGTCTTTTGGACCCCAACCAGGAAGTCGTGACGCTCCAACCGAGGACATTTCCGAAGTGAGGGTCTACATTCCTCTGGACCAAGTCATCGCTTGGCCCCCCTCATCTTATTCCATCCACACCCCCAGTGAGAAAACAACGCAAGTCGCGGGAGTCGGTGGGCTGGCATGCGCAACACGTGGCCCAGCCATCGGAGCCTGGTGCGTGAAACGATGGTGCTGAGCGGTTCAGTTCCTTTTTCTGTGCCGTAAACAAGGCGCCGAACACGCTCGTTACTCACGCGGTGTTCCCATCAGATGTGAGCCAAACTGCGAAGGCACCAAATGGTCGTCGAACGTAACTAGCCTCTTCATGTCGGCCGATCTTAGGGGCCAGGTTTCGCAACCGTACAGTAAGGTCGAACGTACCGCTGCATTGTACACTCTACCCTTCAGGGCGAGAGTAATGCCACGCCAGCGCCATAAGTGACGAAGGCTAGCAAAAGCACTTCGAGCCTTTCTATGCGGTTCGTGATCTCCTCTTCGATCCCAAGGGCGCTGATACAACTTCTCAGGTAGTTGAATTTCCGAACGACTTCTAGCAGATCCCCACCAAGGGTCAGCGCAGGAGGCGATCCCTGCCAATCTTGGAGGAACGCTTTGCATTTTGATGGTGCAAAGCAAAGCCCGAAGCGGCTGACAGCCCGTGCTAATCTGTCCAGCGCGGCTTGGCACGTCTGGGAGCTCTCACAGATGAGGTTAATGTCGTCTGCATACTCCAAGTCAAGAAGTCGTTCTCCTGGGAGTAGCTCCACACCTTCCAAGTCATGTCCTGTAAATGCAATCTCCATGACTTAGTCAATAGCGAAGTTGAAAAGAAAAGGTGAAAACGGGCATCCTTGTCTCACACCGCTGGATATTGAAGGGTGGCGACAGTTTGCCGTAAGCCCTCACTCTGCCCGTGCTACGCGCGTATAATGCTCGGATAATATTCACATATTCCTCGGGCATACCTTTCCTGAGTAGACAATTCCAAAGGGCACATCGATCAACCGAATCGAAGGCACCTTTGATGTCGAGGAACACGACTACGGTGGGCCGCCAATGTGTGACGGTGCTCCAACAACTGACGCAAGGTGAAGATGTGGTCGATGTAGCCACGACCCCGACGAAACCGGGAAATATGGAGAGGCTTGTAACGTTGATATACGAGAACAAACCGCGGTTGTAATTTAGATTTCGAACTTAATACACTCTAACCATGGGAGTTGACTTACCAGTAAATTCAGGCGAACGTTTCATCACCAATAATTGTGGTACTGCTAGTGCCTAAAAGTAGGTAAGGGATAGGGAGCCTCAAGGAAATCGGTTTTACCATTTTCCGACACACCCCAAAGGCAAAGGTATTCATCCCAGCAGCTCACAGGCTGCATAGCTCAACCACAATCCGGAAAAGTACCAGACGCATTTCGTCCTATTGATGCTCGTCAATGGTGCGCATTACAACTAAAATACTGCTACTCCTAGGTAATATAAAATGTAGCCTCTCCTATTTTCGATGTTATGGATATAGCGTCTAGTGAGAGGAAGGCATGACCTGGAGGCTAGCCACTATCATCTGCAAGGGTCGCAATCTGCGCGGCATTAGAAGACACACCGTGCTATATCCCAATTAGCTTGCAAAGTATGTAGCCCAGCTGTTGTCGCCAATGGCTCATTGGCTTAAGCTGCTAGCTGGTTGACGTCAGCCAACCGCGATCATGGGTTCGATCCCTAGTAGGGGACCGAAGGAATGCGCACCACCGACGAGCCCAAATAGGGCGCGTCTGGTGCTTTTCCGGATTGTGATTGAGCTATGTAGCTTTTGAGCTGCTGGGACGAATGCATTAAAAATTACAACTAAAATTCTCCTACTCATAAGTAACCATAAAGGTGTCGAAACGTTTACAACACAATTGCCTAGCTCGACGATCAAAATCAACTGCTCAAAATCAACCCTAGCAAGCACTATGTCAGTTGCTTTCCAATCTTAGTGAGACGGCTGGGATAATGAACGGTTTGTGAAAACAAGCTCATATGATGTCCAGCACACAAAAAACGCCGTTATTTATAGTCAGCTAAATTTACTGAAAGTGACGTCCATATTTTTCGCATTGAAAGTGAAATTCCGCTCTTCGCATCACTACAGGCCGGTCTGACATTCTTTGCCTTACAACGTTTCCGATTGGGACAAGTGCAGCTTGGAGCGGAGGAGCAAGGAACAGGTATACAGGGGACACCAGGTGGTGACACTGCAGGAATGCCTGAATCAGGTTACACTGATATACCGGAGCAAGGAAGCCAACAGCCATTTTCGAGCGGAAAGACCCAGCAGCAAAGTATTGGTGGTGGCCAGTATTATGCTGCAAACTACTAGACGAAATGTCACTTACACTCTGCTGACTACGTTCAGTGCGTCAACGGAACCCAATTTACGATATCCTCGTGTCGTCAATCCAAAAGAGAACTTCGCAATCCTGCGTTCGTCCACATTGCCATTTATGGGCACCCCACTGCATATATGCGCTTGGGTGGTCATCACACATACCAATAACACACCAATGCGTCCTTGCATTTAACTTTTATGTTGTCAATCTGATGAAGGCTTAGGACACACGCAGCTTCTTTAGAACTCAATAACTCACATCAACATTCCGGTCCATCTCGATGCGGTGCCAGTGAACGTTATCATATTCCCCGACAGTGTCTGTTCTAGCAACATTTCTATTGTGTTTTCACTGAACTGATTGCCTTTAGTCATTCATTTGTAACTACTCGGTGTTATACGACGGTTGTACCAGTAAACAAATCTCACATTTTGAGACTGATAAATCTTGCACAGAAAGTATGGGACAACCGAAACCTGGAAACACACCAAGACGGAAGGAAACAATTGAACTAATGCGACCACCTATTATTTGAGCATCGAATTATGATAGATCAAGATGCCTTGACTCACATGAACAAAATAGCACTAAGTAACAGCGGCGAGGGAAGTGGTAGTTCTGAGGGCCGACCATGTCGTCTACATGTTAAGGAAGGCACGGCACTGGAGGATGAGCCGCTCTATATCACAGTCAGGATTGCCCACTACCACCACACATAGCACAGTGAGTTAAGTCACCGGTTCGTAAGATCGGATCCGCTGCTTTGTAAGAAAGCACTTGTGAGTACGAATACCATAGGTTGTTGCGAGTTGTTAACCGACCCAATAAACTGGAGGGCCGTCTAACGCTTTATCGGTTGTGTGACTGTCTGCCAAGAGGGCAGCACGAGCTGATGCACATGCCTAAGTAGCCAAATTCCTTGTGTCATTTGCCCTAACAATGCTTAGCTACCCTCGAACTCCAATGAGAGAGAAACCGCTTAAATAAGTGATACATTCGGAAAGTGGGATACAGTCAGTCGAAGAACGTGTTATAGAAGACAGACATGAAATGGCTTAGGAGCACCGATGCAGAACTCGAGGCATACAACCGCATACCGACAGACGGAAGTCGGAATAACTCGCGCGGCGGTCCCATCAAATATAGAAATTGCACCCCAATTATCGCTGGCCATAAATATCCGCAATGAGTAGTGGTTATGAACTTGATTCATATGCCAAAATCAGCTGCGCTGCAGCGTAGCACATCTTCCGCTTGAGGGAACTCATGTCTCACCGGCCGCATGGGGTTTGAGACCTTGAAAGAGTGTGTAGATCCCAATAATTTCTGTTGTAGCTTACCAGATTGGAATGAATACTAGAGACAGCAAGACAACCTAGACAATCAAATCGGCCGATCATTCTGAGTGGATGTTAGGAGTGAGGACTGAAGGTGTGACAGCTTAGCCCCATGACAACGCCCCAGCTTTCGACATTGGAGAACACATGCCAAGGTGAACAGCAGCAGATATAGAAGGGTCAAATCTAAGTCCGAAAGTTTCCTGACCAGCGAGTTGAAGCTTACCAGCTGAGTATGCAGCAGAACTCCTACTTCAGGTGTAGTAACCACAGCAATATCGTTCGTGCACCGTTATATCAGAAGAATTAGGAAGGGTTGAAAGATAAAATAGCCCAGAGGCTTTTTGCTTGTCGTAATGAGTTCGTGTAAGATCCTCTCCTATGTTCCAACGGTCTCATTAGTCCCAGTGTCGTGTTCAGAACAGAAATATATATTTCTGGTATCTTTCGAAAAGGTGCATTATTCTCAAATGTAGACCATTTACATGCGAGGCAACTGGTGGAGTGTAGATATATAACATATTCCATACGGGGGAAATCAAACTACAAGATGAGCGAGCAATGAGCGTGTTGTACCTAGGATAAATTCGGAACAAAGCAGAGGCCGGCACCCCGACCACTTTTCATGAGGTGCTGTGGCTGTTCTTAATGGTGAGGAGAACGGTCGATACCTGGCAGCCTGAAAGCACACCCATGGTGAAACATACATTGTGAAAGAGAGCAACTATAGCAAGCACAAAAGAGCCACCATCTTCCGATTAACGATAAAGGAAAAATAATTAAGAGGAAATCCATTTTTAGCCAGTTCGTCCAATATTTTCCTCGTTACAGTTAGATTCGAGCTATTGGTTATACAAGGATGCCATGAACCAACCGAGCTACCATTCAAAATGTCCGAAACAAGAAACGTCATGTCATACTCGAAACTTTATTAAGCACGAGAAATAAATTTCGGCTAGTAAAGCGATATGTCTACCATGGATCATCATCATCATACACGTTAGCTAGAGGTGGGGAACACCTCAGCTACTGTGCCGCAATACACAGAAAAAAGGAGAAAAATAAAGAAACTGGTGCAAGCTGGCTGAGCTACCGGTAACGGATGGGCATCGTTCCGGTAAGCTACCAGCCGGCTGCTGTGCACCCAAAAAAAGTTATTATGCAAAATTATATAAGGCTAAGTAATGAGATCGTGGTTGGAGGGAGAGGCTAAGAGGGATGGGGTGGGACAAAGAAACTCACAGCACGAACGCCACTGAGGGCGGCTTCTAGCCATATCAGCAAGTGTGTCCAACCAAACGTGTTCATCGTCTTTCGGACCCCAACCAGGGAGCCGAGACGCTCCAACCGAGGCCAGCTCAGAAGTGAGGGTCTTCATTCCTCTGGACCAAGTCATCGCTTGGCCACCCCTCCTCTTCTTCCATCCACACCCCCGGCGCGCAAACAACACACGTCGCGGAAGTCGGTGGGCTGGCATGCGTAACACGTGGCCGAGCCATCGGAGCCTGATGCGTGAAAGTCTACCATGGATAGGTAGAACCAAATCCTAAGCAGAAAACTTGTTACAAAACTTTTTGGTAAGTGTTGAAAATCAAGAAAAGTGGCGCCGGTGAGTTCAAAGTTATCAGAATGAAAACAGTAGCTGGGTCGCGATTTAGAGTATCGCGCAGTTGAGGAATCCAAACCCTTCCGCGTTTATGAATTCGAAATGGAGTAGAGATTCTCTGTGAAATGGACGAGACGCATTTCAACATGAGTGATATAACCAACAGTAATTGAACAACATCGAGTTAAGTCATCCTAGTCCGACGTAAGCTGCAAATGATCCACAGAAGCTGTTGAGCATATTGGAATACCCTAGTTAACTTTTTACCTAACTCGTATACGCTGACATATGAACCGCTGATTTTTACTTCTATTCAGAGTGCAGAAGGTGCGACAGTGGCGTAAAGTGGAGTGCTCCGTCTCACATGCATCTTACGATTCATTTGTAAATGACTTCGCACAAAATGAAGTCACACTGGACAGCAATGGTACTTTTGGTATCCTCTAAGAGGTAATACTTTCATTCACACAAGTAGAGAAAAAAGATGGCAGCAATGCGCCGGCACAACATAACAAGCGTTTGCTGCCACGTGACCACCGTCGGTCGAAAGTGGGCTCGGTATATCGAGAGGTCGCCCATACCTACACTGGCGATTGATTTCCTGGGTCAAGTTTGTAACCATCTTACCAGAGAAGCTCTGCGTCCACAAATGTTCGTCGCTCAGTCATCCTAACTTACATGGCTCCGCTATGGAGATTCTGCCAAGAGCAAAGCTTATTAATGGAAAAACACGTCTCAGATTAAAAACAAACTGGCCTTACAGTCTTCAGAAAAACAACGTGTTGCAATGCAGTGGGAAGTACAGCAGTGGAAAATAGGGAGAGTGCGTTCCGAAGCATATCATCTCTCTATGCTCTAAAGACGATGTAGTGGAGCTGAATGATGAAGTGTGCTCGTTGATACGGACAGTGCATACTGAACAGACGCGGAGCCGATAGCCAATCTGGGGGCCTAGGAGTGGCAGGCGAATACCAGTTGCTACACTACACTATTCGGAAAACTAGAGCCCCGAAGTCAAGCTGATATGGTAAACAGACTCGCACACCACAGAAACTACCACTTTCCAAGTGTGTCCCTGGAAACCTGATAAAATCCGTTTAAAGGAAACAATACTATAAATCATTCAAAGGAAATATGATACGTGGGTGCTCTGGTGTGAAACGCAAAATATCACTCAGCATTCGATCGCAGCAAACTGTGCAGCATCGATAATAAGGTGGAAATACGGAAACTGAAGAGTTTTATGAAGGCATGTGACGTATACAGTGCGAAAAGTGAGACTGATAGGCCAAACAGAACATCATCGCCATCTGTGGTTGGGTGGTGCGCCAAGTTCAACCAGCAACTACTTGCAACGCAGTATGCAGGCATCTAGAGTATGCTGGCTCGCGAAGAAGTCGAAATCCGCAGGGGCATTCAAACCCACCATAATCATAAACCAAAATGTCACCTAACCTAGCTTAACTTTGTGACAGAGAACTCCACTGTGGCTAAACCGATAAAGAGGGAGTGGTAAAATGGCCACGGTGAAGCGTTGCCGGAGCATGGCATGGCACACAGCGAAAGCATGCCCAACTTTAGACTTACTGGCATAGTACTAATGAGTAGATTAAAATAAATTGTAATTGATATACCTCGAGACGGTCATCATATCTAGACCACAGAATCCCATAAGTGCACCACAATTCGGTAGCGTCATAATTTTGATGGTGTTTGTGATCTGCGACCGTTTACGAATAACGACTCAGCATATTCGTGAGTGAAACAAGGGGATGACATTTCTTAGATTAAATATCCAAAAATAAGGTAATTGCGGAACATCTTTACAGGTGTACCCATCGTTGGTAGTGTGAGATGCGTAGCGATATTTACAGCGGAGTATCCCGAGGATAGGTTGAACTTGTTTTTTAAGAGCACAACCGTCACAGTAATGTTGAATACAAATTATGCGTCTTTTCGATCCACTTGTGGTAGTATACTTGGGCAAAAGGGGAACTACTACCACCAGATTGGTCAAATTCAGCTCCAATGTCGGGACCAGAAGTGGAATGGTAGTCTTCAGTGTTGCATTGAGCGCAACTGAGCCTAGTGTGTTACACGGGAATTATCGTCCGCTATGCTTCACTACGAGTACACCTGTGCAAGTATGGATCAAATTTAGCGAAGATGTATCACACATGCCAAGTTATCCCCAGTTGATTCGCGCAGTACCAGTAATCGTTAGTTGTTGGTTTACCCAAACTCGAAATCTCGATTTACCGAAGCCCCGCTCATTCCTGATATAAGACTGCGTGAAGTGCAGATACGTCAGCATGTCACGCAATACTTCTTCATAAATCTAGATTTGTGTGCAACAAACTAACTCCAATCTTGATGGGGGCTGGAAAAGGTAAATAGTCCTAAACTGGTTGATGAGATTTACTTTGGTCGGTACAGAGGCAAGCGGCCACGTCAAGTGTTCCAGCTCATTATCGTTGGGTGGGAATGAAGCAATGGTCGGCAAACAACAGCAACCAAGTGGCTGTCTCACGCATTAAGCTTTTCGCCCAGAAACGAATGGTATCCAGCAATCCATTGTCTTTGCGGTACCAGGGCCGGACATAGTATTCATAGGTGCTGAATGCGCAGGATATTATGGCAGTTCGATATATGTTGAATAGATTATAGCTTAAGACTCAGTCCTGCTTCCGATCAGAGACAACAACATTCATCCAATGTTTGCCCGCGTAGCTACACTCTAGTTCACACAACAGTAAACAGAGATTAGGCCGATCAAAGATACTAATAAAAGCAGACAGAGTGGCTCAGACAACTCATCGTTCGCCGGAACCAAGACCATGGTGAAGTCGACAGTCAACAAGTAAAATGGCTGGTTTCGTTAGCAAAACCATCTCCACTGGTAACGAGCAATGAAGGTATGAATGGAGCCGAGGTTTTCGCGTGCGACAACTGGTCGATGCAGACAAACCGAAAGCTCCATGAGCCTGTTGTACATTAGAAGTATTCTTCTGCCTCTGAGAACAAGGCGGCACAATATGGGCTATAAAAAGAGAGAGGCAAAACAGGACATGCGATATGGCAAATAAGTTTGGTGAACTGAGGAGACCCAGAAGTCCAAAATGATTACTAAAGGCAATATAAACACAGTCACGTTTATGGCCCCAGGAAGCTGTACGTGAATAAAAAGATCAGGGACACATCGGCGTCCTCACACCCCATGAAGAGCACTGTGTTGGTGTTAGTCGGAGTACCCTCAGAAGCATTTCATTCGGTCTCCTGTATATAAATAGTTTCGTGCTCAGGTTGAACCACAGTAAGCTTACTTTGGGGCGTTATATCAACCGCAAGTTCGAAATACAGTGTGTACGCCAACTGTCTCCGCATCGTCGATCGTGCGCACTATGTTTAGAGGTAATGGTGAGATCATCTCCGAATAATTCAGTCCGATATTCCAAAATAAGGGGGGATAAGCGCAATGAGTTAGGATGTATCGAGCTTAGTGGCGACAGACAAGAGGAGAAATCGTGTCAACCCTGATGCTGATTAGGTTGTTTGCTTCCATTCCAGCCGTCCGGGTAATGTGGAACATAGATACAGGATGACAGAAATGCGAGTAGGCAACAGATGGATACAGGACGGTGCATAACATAATCAGTCCGCGTCATGCATTGTAGCAGTGTCATATTCATTGTGGGTCGGCCACAGTTATGCCCTTTTCCAAAACACTTGCTCGGAAGATGTTTTTTCATGGGACAAGTGGGCATTTTACGTGTTCTATATCCGAGTTCTTCAGGTCACATCAGGGTCTGCGGCGAATACTCGGATGTCTTATCGAAAACAAGTCTAGTTTGCTAGGGCTGCGCCATAAATCCTAACCAAGCGAGCTGTGCACTCCGAGACCACGTCAAGTAAACCAAGATCAATGCGTGCCCACAAAGGATAAGGCTCAAGCGCCTAAAGTAACGACATCAACCGTCGTCCATTTCCATGCGTGAGTAGATTCTCGCTGTATCGGTGCCGTTGGTCGCGTGCGTGCTCTGTAGCTTATTTTGGCCCGATCTCAAAGTATCCGGCCGATACAAATCGTAAACATAACGGTCAAATACACTCGCATCTTGAGGATGTAATCGGTTTTCGCCCGCGGGACACCATACTCATCAGTATCTACAGGATCACGAATCTAACCGACGTCCGTGCTTGTAGGCATGGGTATGTAGTAGGAAAGAAGAAGGCATCAGCAGTATGTCGGCACGCAGTACCGACGCTTCGCTGCCGCACGACCACCAGCAGTCGCACGTGGACGAAGGATATTGCGAGAGTCGCAGTATCCCTACGCAGGCTCGAACCCTCACCCTCGGATTACAGGGCAGGTTTGTGATCCTTAGGGCATGCGTATACCGTATATTATATGCATAGTCAAAACCCTATTGGTCGGTGGGGATAAGTCTCTCGGTGACTCAAAAATGTGTGCTCCCTTGTGCCTGCTGCTGGCGACAATTTTCAGATAACGCGAATTCGCTTGATTTTATTTTAAAAGAAGTTCGTTTAATCATGGATTTAGTGCACAAGAAAGCAACAAGAATATGAAGAATAAATTTTCTTTATGATTATTCATATGATTATTCATTTTAAAGTGGATGAATGATTCAGCGAATTATTAGGACGCTGGAGGAAAATATTTCCACAGAAAGTGTGTACACTGGTCACATGTTCGTTCTATAAACATCCCAAACAAGTAAACTGCCGAGAGCACCGGCGTTGGCTGGGGCCGCGCTGATTAGCCAATGAGAGTGAGTGGTGAAAACGCAACAACGAATGGAAGTCGACTTTTGGTCAACCTGCGGTCCATGCGGTTTTGTCACTGAGGTAGCTGCCCAGTCTCCCAAGAGCTCACCTTCACCTAATCCACCAAGACTAGTAAGCCAGCCCAAATTGCGCAGTGCAAGCCTTGAGCCACCGGTAAATTCAGCTAACTGAAGATGACCATTCCATTGCCCGATGGCAACAATACGACCGTCAGGACGCCAGGCAACGCTTGAAATTCCACAAGTCGTTGTCTGAAGCTGGCTATTGGTTTTGTTTAGTTGCCAACAGCCGGTAACCGATTCGTTGAACACGAGATGGAGGAGGGTTACATTGGTTGCAGATGTGTTTGTGACCGAATGCTCGGTGCTAGGTCCGCCAACGACAACGAGCCTTTTACACTGGCCAGGAATGATCGGCTGCATTCCAAGACACATGACGGGAACAGCGGTGCCTAAACAATTATCGATTCGGGAGATGACATGACCATCACCAAAGAGTAGAATATGACCCGCTTCATATGCCGCGATAAAAACACATCTCGGACCAGTAGTGGGACTATCCGGTCGCACTATGCCACGTAAGGCCATGCACATACCCGTTTTGGATAATCCAGTGATGCCTTCATCAGGTTGCACACAGCAAGAGTTGAAAATGATTAAGTTCTGAGGGAGTTGGATGACTTCAATGGAGTTTGTCCTATCTGAACTATCGTCGTTATCGGAAATGTGGGCCAGGTAGTGTACAAGGTCTGATGATGAATTGCTGGATTCAGACCATAGGTCCATTGAACAAAAGGTAACGTCACAGGTCCGGATTTCTGTCATGGCTAAAAAAGAAAAGGGTAAAAAGCGGCTTCAAAAGTGCAAAAGTAATCACAAATTGAATAAATACCTGCCAGTAAGTGAACACCAAATTTTTCAGTTTAGTGCCTTGTATGAGTGTGCTTAGAGTGGAGACCAAAGAATAAGAACGAATTCAAGTGGTGGCAGACTCCTTAGCCATAGTTTTAGAGTAGCAGCGGTCACGCGTACACAACGGTTCGACACATACATATCGGTAGAATTGGCATGGATCGTGTCAGTTAATAAGGGGATGATGAGGACAGGATCGCTGCAAGATGTGGGCATGAACAACAAACTAAAGGAATATGCTTGTAGTAGCGTAAATAGCATCGATACGTGCAAACATGTGGGCAGATTGGTGTACACGGCGAACAAATTGCCCGAGGGTTGCCAAAACACCCCGTTTGAGATTGTGCAGCGGAATGTGAGCGTACTACAGAGAAGGCTTCAAAGATGGTGAAATAGGAACACTCACAGATTCTAAGCGTTCGGAATAGGAGTACAATCACATTTTACGTATATTTGCAAATCTTGAAAAGAAATGCTTAAACACAAGGCGTCTGACTGAATAGAGAGCTAATAGACATATCACTGTGTTGCTCCATCGTATTTAGTGCGGGCACGTGCGCGGAATCAGGTCATTGATTCCAGCACGTTTGCTGCACAGTACAGCAGCGGCATTGGTATTTGGGTGCGATGCGCTCCCTACACCTGAGATCCGCAAAGTGGGCGTCTGAGAATTTAGTGGATTCCGACACCGATTTCGCCTCGACCATTTTCGCAGACAAACCGTTTCAGTATTACACCGCTCGATGCTCAAAGCATAAAAGGTGAGTTATCCGCTTTAGGTCCGGTACAACTAGCTTGTAGCGGTGCCCATGAGTGCTGCCTAGCGCGCACGTGAAGCAGTGGTGTGGGGAAATGACACAGATGCAATATCAGGTGCGTCATGGTGAGGTCTATTTTAAACCGACGATACGACAGGGTGTACAGCCCCAGTCGTTTGTATCGATCTTCGTACGACATACAACATAAACTAGGGATGAGCCTAGTAGCCACAAATTGAACACGTTCCAGTGTTTACACCTCGCCACATGTGATTGAACAATAGGCGGGTGATCCGTACTCGAGCATCATCACTTAATTAACAAAGAAGTCCGAAACCGAGTGCTTGGAGCATATAACACATGCTTGCAAAACGTTGTTCTTCGACCCCGCAAGCGTTGACTCGGCCAAGTAGTGAGCATATCAGACTATCGTTTTCCTCGTCGAGTGTTATTGTCGCTGCAAGGAAGCGACTGGAAAAAGTGCAGCGGTGGACAACCAATGACGAGGAGGAGCATGAAGAAGGCAACCTCAAACTTCGCATCCGTTGGACCGGTCCGCCTTCCAGGATGGGGACCACACGACTCGGACTGTCAGTGGTTGGAAACGCTAGAGGTTATGACGTGCAAAAGAGATCAGTGGCAACAATCTTGTCGAGCCGCATCAATTGGTAATGTCTCATCGAATATATATCTATATAGCATAAACACATTAAATCGAACATTCTGTTTGCACAAGCGTCCACTTCTTGCACAGTTCTGTTGCGTTCGCGTAAGCAAAGTGTGACCGGAACATCGTCTAGTCGCCTTACTCCTCATTTCTTACCAGCAAATGGTTGATTTTTTGCTTAGAATGCAATGTGACCAATTAAGTTTGCAAAATGTCCAATTCGTGTTGCAAAACGTCCACCGTGGTTTGCGAAACGTCTAAAGTTGTTTGCAATACGCCCAACCTGGTTTGCAAAACATCCAGTGGTTTGCAAAACGTCAAATATAGTGAAAATGGTATATATACTCCGGAATCGATCTAACGATGGAAGTGAAGAGGCGCATGGCAATCTCTTAAGACGGAGCTGTACGCTATCGCGGATTGCGGATTGGGAAATGTCTCCCATGTGGAGGTAACTGTGAATACGTCTCGTCTGCTTTGCAGGCGAAATGAATATGCAGTAGCGGACAATCAGCGGCAGCGTCTCAGAGTGTGGAGAGCTCTGGGATGGTCGTCTGGTGCTCCAACAATTATCACAAGATCTCGTATGGCGCTGTGTCGAAACCAATGTGACCGGTAATAGCTTCAGTGACCACTCAATTATGTAACCAAAGGAGATTACCAAACGGAGGGCAGATGAAATACCTTGTTGGCCGCCTGCTTCTCTATGGGCTGCTATCGAACACAAAGGCGAATGAGTCACCTGGCTGTCAACAGTCTTTGTACATCGCTCTGCTGCCTTGCGGGTCAGGTCTTTATGACCAAAGACTCGGGATGGGGTCCCTTAAGTCAACCCTCTTCCTCGGCCTGGGTAGCCGGGAAGATCTCTGCTCACATAACGCATAAACCCTCTAAACCTTCTTAACCCTTCCACTGACTACCTGTTTTGCTGTTAACCATGTGTTATGGCACCGCCAACTTTATACAGGTCAAGTGTTGAATGGTTGGCAGCATCCGGTTTCGGATTTGCCTGTCAATGTGGCCAGCCACAGGACGCCTGCGCCTACAGAGGGACCATGGATGGCTTGCGCTGCACCACCCACAGCTCCATCCACATACCCATATCCAGTGTAAACCCGAAGGAATAATACCGGGAGGCAAGTGTTGTATATATATATATATATATATATATATATATATATATATATATATATATATATATATATATAGTGTCAACATACAGAAACTGTGTTTGAGCGCCCAAAGCAGGCGCAGTCCGTTTCCACGTACCTTGTTCGTGTCATCTACTGACTTCAAATCGCAGCGTGAGAGTGCACCGAGATCCTTCACGAAAGGCGTGGGATGCGCTGGTTGGCCGGCCTATGTGCACGCACACACATCAACACCCTTCCCCAGGATCATATCTAACGATTTGATTGGGTTGACTGGCAGATCGACATCTGCAGACTACTTGGACAGGCGGTCGGGGTCATGCTGAAGTAGGTCACAGTAGTCTGGATCCTCCTCCTCATCATCATCATCGATACACGTTAGCCGAGGGTGAGAAACACACCTTTGCTAATGTGCCGCAATACAGAAAATATAAGGGATTAAACATTACAGATTAAAAAAAGCTAAAGAAGTAATATAATGCTAAAACCACAACATGCATTAGGTTGAAATCGTTGTTAAAATGGGAAGCTAAAGGGACTCAAAACACAAACGCCACTGAGGTGGGTTCCTCGTTTTGTCACCTAGTGTATCCAACCAAACGTGTTCATCGTCCTTCGGACCCCAGCTCAACAGTCGCGAAACACCAACTGTCGCCAAGTTCGAAGCGAGGGACTTCAATCCTCTTGACCAAGTGATCTCTTGGTCTCCCCTCCTATTCTACCATCCAAACCCAGGGCGCGAAAACAACGCATGATGCGGGAGTCTGTGTACTGGCATACGCAACACGTGGCCCAGCCATCGGAGTCTGGTGCTGAAGGATTCAGTCGCTCCACCTGCACCAAATACGCGACGCCGAACACACCCATTGCACACGCAGTGTTCCCACCAGACAATCTCCATGTCGTCTGCAAACAGAGCACGAGGCGACCGAAGATGATGAGGCACTTCGTTGATGTGCATCAGGAATAAAATAGCCCCCAGTGCTGCATCTTGGAGAAGCCCACTGGTGGAAGGATACTAGTCCGTCAGATGGTAATCCTTTTGTAACCTCCATTTCTATCTCGCACTAAGTGGCAAGGCCGAGGCGACACTACTGGACTGATTCCCGATTAATAACAGCCGACTGTGTACAGTTCGGGTTCCGGGTTCATGTACATCCTTGTGCACATTAATTGAAACAAACTGCGAAAACACTGAAAAACCTTTTTTTCAAAATTGTTATAATGAATTGCACTAATATACTCACATCAATGCACAACATGACCTCCTCGACTTTTGAGTAGCATTTTAATACGGTTTGGCATGGAATCCACTAAATTTGAACAAACTTTAGCCCATCTTGGGTCCCTGTACCAGACTTGAATTAAAGCTTGAGTAAGTTTCTCCTTTGTCGTACAGTCCATGCCACGAAGGCGTTGCTTGCAAATAGACCACACATTTTCAATGGGGTTAAAATCTGGTGAATTCCCAGACCAGTCCAAGATGGTTATTTGATTAGTATTGAAAAAAGTCTTGACCATTTTTGGTGTGTGGCACGGGGCCAGATCTTGTTGAAATACGCCAGATCCGTCAGGAAATGTCTTTTTTAGTTCTGGAACAGCTCTTCTTTGGAGAACTTCTATATATTGTGGAGAGCGCATCATGCCCTGGACTGGATGCAAGGCGCCGACGCCGTAATAACTAAAGCACCTCCAAAACATCTGCTTTTGTGGGTGTTTCACAAAGTGGTCAATGTGGGAATCACGAACCTTTTCTCCCTCTGACCTCCAAACATACTGACTTCTCTGACCATGAACATAGAAATGGCTTTCATCGCTGAATAGGACTTTTCTCCAATCTTCTTTTGTCCAGTTTTTGTACTTAAGTCCCCATTTGTAACGCTTAACTTTCATTACTTTTGTCAGAAGTTGTTTTTTCACAGGCCGTCTGGCTTTCCGACCAACTTCCAGGAGTCGCCTGCGAACCGTTGGAGAACTGATTTCTATTCCTTTCTCCTCCAAATCACGTTTTAATGCGTCACTAGTCTTTCGAGGATCTTTAACACTTTCCCGTATTAGGTAATCGTCATCCCTGGCAGCGGTTTTCCTCTTATGACCACATTTCCCTTTGCGTTTTGGCGAAATGCATCCCGTTTCCTTTTTCATTTTGACCACACGGCTGACGGTTGCCGGACTGACGCCTACTATACTTGCTATATCCCTTTATGTCTTGTCTGTGTGTTCGTGCAAGGTCACGAGCTTCATGCGCCTTCTGGGAGTCACGTCCATCTCAAACAATGACTGAATCACAAAAAACAAGGAGTTGAAACAAAAATCTTACTAACCATAAAAAGTATGATGCAATCTTGGGTAATGTAACGACTAGACATGCGCAGTTATTAAATCGACTGATTCACAAACAATGATGAAATATCTATTCCCAAAATAAAATAAAAAAATTAAAGGCAAAACGGCAGCTTTCATGTATAAAAACATGATATTCATAGAAAAAGAGACACAATCGTAGTTTGTTTCAATTAATGTGCACAAGGATGTAGAATCAACAAGCGTCGAGAGGAGACGATCAACGTAGTTTTGATCCGCGCGTAAGCTTTGACTGCAGTAGTGGCGTGGTCATGGACGACTTTCCTCGGGAGATTCATTAACTCTTGTGTAACGCTAGAAAAGCGAATGTCGTTGTCCATGCTGGGAATTCCAATGCAGGCGGTTGTCCTCACATAATGTGAGAAACCAATCTCCGTTGTCAGAGTGACCCTCATCAAGATGACGTTTGCATGGCAGCAGTTGGCCGACGCGAGAATTGGATTCTCCGGTAAGGATAACGACATCCGATTTTTCGGCTTTATTGAAAATCTGTTGAAGTCTGACATAAATGTTGTCCTCAACCGATGTACATTTGCAGTCTGTTGGAGCTTAGGCAGAGATCGCAAACGAATTGCGACTCTCTACGATGTCTGTTGATTCCGCATGAGCTTCGAAACCGAATCGCACATAGTCGGCTGTCAATCGGGAACCAGCCAAGCCAGCTGAAGATTCTTAAGTGTCACCAGACAGACGCAGGAAGTATTTGGTTCGGCGATCAGCAGGAGACGTTAACTAGACCACAGTGCTGGAGACCTGTAATTATTGAAAGTGCAAGAAATATCGATACCGAGGGACTAGGTTGCGCGCTAGGGCAGCCTACTGCCCGGTCCGCATGAGGGTCCGAACGATGAAGATCGCAAGCCGGAATAAAGATCGGGGTCAAAGAAAAGCTACTGGACGGAATCTTTAGGCATCGGCGGGACTGGCATCGGAAGTAGATGTAAAGAGACGAGATCTATCAACAAAGATACGTTTGCCGTGGACCACACAAATCGGCCGTTGCTGTTTCTCATTAAGGTCCCATTTTTATGTTACCTATAACGGATTCATAAGTTTTGTCGGGCTATTCTCCTAATTGTTATCTGCATAATTATGAAGTCATAACAGCTAGCGATTTCCGCCAATTTTTTGAAATTTTTTTCGGGACGCTACGCTGCCGCGTGCGGCCACAAAGTCAGGACCATCATCAAACGATTTTAAAGATTTGGTAAAATAAGAAAGCACCATGCTGACTAGGAAGCAGTGTGGACTCAGACGCTGTTCTAGACGTAGGGCGCGAATTCTCTCCAGCAATGTGCGCTCTCTCCTTGGCACAACTGCTGACGTCAGTGTGGCTATGTGGCGCAAACAGTATGCAAACGCAGGTATTATACAATAAAGTTGGTTACATCCTGATGTGGCAATTCAACTCGATGGATACCGTGTCGCAAAGTTCGACCGATCTAGACAGCCGCAGAATCGCAAAGGCGCTATCACCTATGTAAACCAATTATGGTGTAATTCAGTGACCTTGCTATCTACATAGTCAATAGACAAAATTAGCTGCCAGTTACTCGAGTGCAGACAAAAGTTTCTGTGTGGATTTCTTCCCGCTGTCATCGTCAACATCAACATAGCCCTCGAAATCTCATCGTTTGAGCTCAAACTGCGTATGGATCATTTCTCCACAGTGTTAGTGCTTAAAATTGAATGCTTTGTCTACACCGTTGCAGGTGACCTAAACTAAAGTTACTTGGTCTAACAATACAATGTCGTTCGAAACTAGATTTGACGCACAATTGGTTTTTGTTCTCAAAAAGAAAACTCAGTTGTCTTCCACTTTAAATCAGGTTCCTATAGGAAACACAAACCATTACGTGCTGAAGATATGCCCGGTCATTGACACCAAAACCACAATTGTCTTTGACAAAAAAGTCCTTCAAAATCATCAAAGGGCGAGATTGCTCGGCAGCAAATATCCCGAAACTTAATGCCACGCTGGCTTTGAAAGACTTTGCAGTTTTCATGGACGAAAGCCTATCTTCGGAGTGTGGGCATCTTATCGAATATAGTCACTGCTTTGATCTATGCTGCCCTGTTGAAAGTATCTACCTACGCATGAACAGATTCTGTTCGCCATCAATGAAGCGATTTATTTAAGACTTCTACATAATAAGGAAAAGATAATGCCAGAATCTTCTGCCATTTTTGTCCCCTTTAAATGGCAACGTTATAAACAACAACTTGTAGTTGCTTTTCACTGCTTTCTGTTTTTGCGTAGCATGCTGTAAGTCTTTCGGGGCATCCGATTTCAAGTAGTTTCATGACATGTGTTTCAGTTCACTCACTCGTATCCTTAGAGCAAACTCTGCGAGCTCTCGTGAAGGCGATGTGAACTAATGCTGGTCTGTACTTTATAGTGCAGAAACAAAGTTCAAGTAGATTTGCGATACACAAATCGAGTGAGCGTGTCAGCTGAATCACTCCTTAACTTAAGGTTTAAAAACGGGAAATGTTATCCATTTTGCTTTCCATCGTGAATTTGATGGTAAGGTGGCATTTGTTTAGAACATCGAGTAGGTACGCCGCCTGTCGAGCGGTATCAACTACGACGAATGTGTCGTCAAAACATTTACCGTTTGAATGCACATTTTGCACGTCGTCACGTGTTACAGTGTTCTCCATGGGAGTCATGAATTGTCAGTCAGGACTGGGCTGCCTATAGCAAAGCAATCAACCTGACGACAGATTGTTCCATTGTATTGGAACTGAATGTGTTTTGTGCACAAACAGCGTAATGACGTGCTGCAAAACCCCACTTTGTCCTTATGAATGCGAAGGATGTCTAAGGTCTCTTCTAATGGAACGTTGGTGAACGATGAGCATACCTGGAATATCCGAATTAAGAGTACCTTGTTAAAATATTCCTTCTTGCTATCTTGGAATTTGTTAAGGAGGAATACTGCATTAGATTGACAAATGTTTGAATACGGATACTGAGGTTGAGAGGAGCACAAGGGAACCTGATTAGGAAGAGTAGTCGCCAAGATAAGCAGTAAAGTCGTCCCATGTCAGTTCACGTAGTGTAGGGGATAGGCGGTTGTTAGGTATCCTCCAGGGGAGATAGCAGGGCGGAAAATGGGTCGAGGGAGTATCCGCCCTATTGTGCCAGCGGGATATTGTTCGAATGCGGGGATACGGTTGAAGCAATTAGGATGCATTCAGATTTGAAGCTTCTGTAAATATCCAGTCACACATACAGCCACGACCTATCATTATGTGGCAGCGAAATAGCACAGGTTGCAGGTGTGTAGAGAACCATCCACGTGCTAAGCATCAACATAAAATCCAGCAAATGAAATTTATCTAACTTCTAAAACGACATGAATCGATGTGACAGCGCAGTGAGTGGAATGCTTATATAGACCATCTAAGCCATGATAAAAACCTGAGTAGTATGTAAGCTAATGAGAAGATAGCAGACTAACTTTGCACCGGTGAAGAAGTTGATTGCAGCAGGGACAAATTTCCGATCGGTATTAACCAGAACCGGATGTATCCATCGCGACCTTGTGATATGATGACGGAATTTTGCGACCACCAATGCAGTGACGTAACCTGTCCGTTCGGATGGGCAATCCACTGGTAGTAATTCCGTCGTTTGTTCAAGGACCACAAAAGTGCCCAGCCATTCAAATGGCCTGATGCCAACGTGGTTTCCGCCGATGCGGGATCATCGGTCAAAACGACGAGGGAAGTGCACGGACCAACGGTGCTGGAAAACGAGGTCTTGAGTCGACTAGGAATCAGCAGATGAGACGGTTGCTGAAAAAAAGAGAGCAAGTAAAAGGAAAAATGCGAAAAAGGACACCACGATTAAATGGGAACTGTTGGGGTTATGGTGTGGACAGAGTGAATATATAATAAAAATAATGGGAGCATGATATATAACCGACAGCTATCTCACAACTCAGCCCGCAGAAATGAAAATACTACATCTCCACATTTTGGGGCACGAAGAGAATGGGAGCTGAATGATGACAACACCACAACAATGGAAGCCGTGCCCTTCAGAACGCCGCCGAAATAATTACATCTGGTAAATACGAATGAGATGAGAAAATTTTCTGCATACGAATAAAAAGTACGCCTGGCTTGCAACCATAAGGCCCCCGGTTCGAATCCGCGTATGAGTGGTCGTCCTCGCGGTATACTCAGCCCGCGCGCGACTGGTGGTGATCAAGCAGCAGCGAAGCGCCGTTACGGCGTACAGCTAACACATTATTTATTATTTCGACACAAAGAGTTTCACTGTTTTAAAGGGGAAATTAAACGCCAATAGTAGTGTGGTCAAACAGTAAATGTATAACCCTGGTTGAAATCCGTCCTCAAAAGGTAAGCTGAGTCGTGTTGATCCGTCGGAGTTTCCGAGAGTATTTGAATACTGATTGGTAGAGGAAAGGTCATTCCAATGCCGACGCTATGAAGTGCATACAATGTGATGCGTCATTGAGCGTGGAGCACAGAGGTCAATCAGTGAGCTGATAGACATCAATGGCAGAATAATTAGTTCGTTAAATATCTTCAACAGCGCAGACGTATTTGGTTTTGACAGTTGGACAAAGCGGATACGAAGAAGTGACATGAGGCTGATTGGTAAACAATGGGCAAGACCATCGTGGGGTCAGATCCAGCCTATGTACTTGTGTTACCGCAAAAGTAGATCGGAAGCCTCATGCTTTGCCTGAGGCATCACGTGACGAGCCACAACCACAATTATTTACCGGTAAACAGTCATCCATGCGCTATCCACAGGTGGCAGGAAAACAGAAAGAATGGTGATGTTCGGTAGCGTTCCACCAGTCTGTAGCACGAAAACGCAAATTCAAATATTAGTCGAGGAAATAATTTCATTAACATAAAGGGTTGTCGTTCCAATTCCAGCAATAAACAAGCATATGATGTAACCTTACAAAATTCAAACGCAATGAGGCTGGGCCTTAAAGTGGTGCGATGGTTTGCGTGTCTCAGAGATCCATTAAGCCATGCTGGGTGGTGCTTGTTTGCACCTTCAGAGCCACTCATACCAGATTGGTCAATAGTCATAGGCCAGACAAACTCGGCCTTTTGGTCCTCCAGGTTGGGGGTTGGAATGGGGGTGGCCCCTTATCCCTTAAATAGGACTCCTTGTCGCCTACCACCAAAAATCGCTTCCCTTTGGTCAAGTTTTTGAATCAAACGCTTTGGTTGAGAACCCTAATCGTTCTCCTGTATAGGCCTGGGCAACCCGGCAGTATTCTGTTCACGCAATAATATGAACTTCTCTTCAATGAGTTTCTTGATGATCTGGCCGTTGCAAAGGATAATAAAAATCACCCTAACTGCAGCATCGAGCAGGGTGGATAGGGGTTTGGACCCTACTGCTCAAGCATCCCCATCTTGTTATTCACCCTTATCGTCCCATTCCAACTTCACTTTTATCCCCCTAGTTTTCAACCCCGATTCTTGGCCCTCCCACAACACGCTTTGCCAGGTGTTTATCTTCTAGTTTCAACTCACATGCAATCACGTTTCCTGTAGATAAGCCCATGTCCAACCAAGCGGTCCACCCGCGTACATCACCTTTCATTTGGAGCCCTCGATCCTCCTTCAGATTGGCATGCCTCAATGTATGCACACTGCTACAGATCGGTCAACTGCTGCTTTTCAGAGAACCGCCTGCAAGACTCGAGCTCCGTGCTCACTCTGAGATCCCCTTCAGGTGACGTAAACAGTATTTTTTCATTGCGCCTATCCGGTGATGATGCAGCTTCGAGCACTGGCCAAGCTGGTGTTGGCATTGCCCTGAGTCCCCGGGCTGACTGATTGGATCCCAATCAGTAGCCGGATGCGTGCGGTCTGATTAGCTGGCTTGTTCAAAGCTTCGAAATCGCGTGGGACTAATAGGTGTATATTCGTCATTGCTGCCTACGCACCCACAAACTCTAGCGATGATTCGGTAAAAGACGACTTCTACCGCCAACTGAACCAGCTCATTCGCTACAGAAAAAGCACGGACACTGTTATGCTGGATGGGGGACATAAACGCTCAAGTTGGAAAATGATCCACTGATGAACTGCATCTGGGCGGTCAGCATGGTGTAGGTTTCCGTAATGATAACGGTGAGCGGTTAATTCATTTGTGTGAAGATGCCCTTGGTTATGCTGACATGCGGATGTGTTTTGGCGGAGGCTCACGACGACGCTGTGAGCGCATTGACACCAGCCAGATGGCGAAACCAGCTGTTCTGAGTGCGTATCGAAATACGCTGACATGTGGTTTGAGTAAGCGCTCACTGGAGACAAATTAAGGTCAATGGCCGCATGTTCACCAGACCTTACTAGCAGATGGCAAATCCTCATGTGGTAAGTCTAATAGCCAACATGGACATTGTATCTCTTGGTGGTCTCTGGAACTTATCGATGTTCGCCGGAATATTCCGGCTGGAAGCGAACACAATGAAACCCGTGAAGAGCTCCGGACAAAACTCCGTGCTAGCCTGAAGAGAGACAACGAATCTTGGTGGTCTCTTCGTGCGTCAGAGATGGAAGTGGCCGCTGCCCTTGACAACCAACGAAAGTTATTCCATCTGATACAGGAAACGGGCAGCAGGAGACCTGGTGTTAGTGAAACTATATGGGACGAAAGTATACAGCTATCCACAACTTGTTAAAACGTTTGGAGCGTTGTGCTGAGCATTATCGAAAGCGATTTACTCTGCCGGAATTGTTAGATTGCTCGTCGGCCAGTGATCGCCCTGCTCCAACTCGCTCAGAAGTCGAACGTGAGATCGGACTGTTGAAGTTGAACAACGCCGCGGGACCAGATGATCTTTCTCCAGCTCCCTTCAAATTCGCGAGCCTTGTTGATATTATACACGAATTACTAGTGAAACTGTGGGAGTAAAAAATTGTCCCAACCGACCAGAGCCGCTGCGTAATACTTCCGATCATCAAAGGTGGTGCACGTTGGGAAAGAATCAGTCTGATCGCCTCCAAATAACTTGCTTCTGAAATCCTTCACAGACTGACTGGCACTCGTGAAAGCCAGATTCGTGAGGAGCATGACGGGTTTCGTCAAAGTCGAGGCTGAATCGACCACATCTTCACTTGGCGGCAATTGTTAGGGCACCGTCACACATATTAGCAGTCAACCATTATCGTGTTCCTCGACATCAAAGGTGCATTCCATTCGGTGGACCGATGTGCCCTTTGAGACTGTCTACTTAGGAAAGGTGTGCCTGAGAAATGTGTAAATATTATCAGCGCACTATACGCGCGTAGTAAGGGCAAAATGAAGGCTTACGGCAAGCTGTTGCCGATCTTCAGTATCTCCAGCGATGTGAAACAGCTGTGCCCGCTATCACCTTTCCTCTTCAACTTCGCTATTGACGAAGTCATGGAGATTACATTTACAGAACACGACTTAGAAGGTGTGGAGTTATCCCCTAGAGAACGACTTCATGCCTTGGAGTATGCAGACGACATTGCCCTCATCTGTGACAGCTGCCAGACGTGCCAAGCCGCGCTGGACAGATTAGCACTGGCTGTCAGACGCTTCGGGCTTTGCTTTGCACCATCGAAATGCAAAGCTTTCCTCCAAGATTGTCAGGGATCGCCTCCTGCGCTGACCGTTGGTGGGGATAAGGTAGAAGTCGTTCGGAAATTCAACTACCTGGGAGGTTGTATCAGCGCCCTTGAGATCGAAAATGAGATCGCGAACCGCATAGAAAAAGATCGAAGTGATTTTGCTAGCCTTCGCTACCTGTGGCGCCGGCGAGACATTACTCTCGCCCTGAAGGGTAGAGTGTACAATTCAGCCGTATGTTCTACCTTACTGTACGGTTGCGAAACCTGGCCCCTAAGATCGGCCGAGATGAAGAGGCTAGTTACTTTCGACTAACGGTGCCTTCTCAGTTTGGCTCACATCTGGTGGGAACACCGCGTGAATAACGAGCGTGTTCGACGCCTTGTTTACGGCACAGAAAAAGAAACTGAACCGGTCAGCACCGTCATTTCACGCACCAGGCTCCGATGGCTGGGCCACGTGTTGCGCATGCCAGCCCACCGATTGCCGCGATTTGCGTTGTTCGCTCACTAAGGGTGTGGGTGGAAGAAGAGGAAAGGTGGCCAAACGATGACTTGATCGAGAGAAATGAAGACCATCACTTCGGATCTGTCCTCGGTTGGAGCGTCACGGCTCCCTGGTTGGGGTCCAAAAAACGATGATCACGTTTAGTTCGATACACTTGCTGACATGTCTAGGAGTCGACCTCAGTGGCGATCTTGCTGAGTTTTTTGTCTCTCCCTAACAGTTTTAGCTTCCCACTTCAACCACAATCTCATTTCCTAGCAAAAGTTAATTGTGCAGAAGAATTTTTATTGTTGCCTAGTCGCCGGCTGGTACCTTTCAGGGAAAATTGCCCCTCCGTTGTTGGTAGCTAAGCTGACAAGCAACCGGTGCATTTTTTCTTTAATATATTACGCCACAGCAGCTGATGTGTTTTACCCTTCTAGCTAACGTGTATAATGATGAATGACTTTAATGAATTTGAACTTTAAGAATTGTTCAGAAGGCATTTAAATAAGAGAACACAAGTTGGTGTGTGAACGCAAACAAGTGCTCGGTTGAGATGGATGGATAATGGTAAAAGAGGACATTTTAGATGAATGCGCGGCTGCCATAGCAAAAGTGGTGGGTGTGTACGGCTGCAAGCCACTTATTAGACGCATATGCTGCGCTCCCACGACCGGCATTTAGAAATTACGACCAAAAACAGAAATTTACCTTATATACGAAATAGCAGAAATCGTAACCGAAAACAAAAATAGTGTTCTCGGAAACTCGAAAAAAAATTAATGCATTAAGCTGTTGCCCAAATGGTAAATGTCAGTTAAAGGAGTTTTCATACCAGTAAGTTTATAAAAAGACTTTTCTCATGCCCGTGGTGGAACACTACCGTGATGTATGTTCACCTCCTGAGGCCCAACAGAAGCTGTTCAGTTTGAATGATCCACGACGTGTAGAAATAGTGTCACAGACACGCCGAAAGGCTACCTTCATGTGCTGACCAATGTCGCGCCAGTAGTGCCTAAGCCAAAGAATGCTGACGACAACATGCTAGATTCCTAAGCAAACCGTCGAAAGGCTGTATTGCTTGCATTCCCTAAGTTATATACGGCACAAGTGGCCAGAGACCCTGTAAAACAAAGACATTCTTGGACTCGGTTCCTTGATCTGAAACTGACCACGTCAATGAAGCCCATTTACATTTTGTCCTAAATTGACCTGAGCAAATTTCTTCCGATTTTCTTTTTTCTGGCAATAAGTACTGAGACAGTGAATTTTACGTGTTGTCCACTCGCAACACAACTACCTAGAGTAGCACTTGGTAAGTTTCGGAGAGATTATTTCCGAACTACGACATGCACACAGTGAGAATTATTGAATAATGCAACAGGAAGTAAAAAAACTGAAGAGATAATGAAATGGATGGGACCGAGTGGAGAGATGAACAGAAAAAGCCGCTGACAACCATCATGAATCGAGCAAAGGCATCATCAACATCACAACAGCAGTAGGTCAGCAATTTTAAATGATGCTTCAGTGCAATACAACCATGATGACCTACGAAAAGAATAATAATAAAAGGGAGAGATAAGGGAACTTACCTGAAAACCTTAAGACCCTATGCGAACATTCAGGATCAAGGTGCCTACAAACTGTCAACGGCATACCATCACAAACAGCTGGTTATCGTGCAAAGATGAAGCGACATCAGTGAGACAGCTTCCCAGCGACTTTCACTGCCCCGCGTCATAACCA